TTCTTCTTTCAACCTGCGCCAGCGAATAAACTCCTTTCCAAGATCGACTCTTGTTTTCCTCATGCTCATCCCTATCACCTTTTCTCTTTTAAGCCTCCTTAGAAGTTTTAAACTTCTTCCTTGCCTCAGCCATGACCAGTAGTCGAGAGCCTGCGGCCGTTAAGTGATAGGTTCTTCCAGGTCACATGACCTGGCCAATGGCGGTCCGTTATCTCCCAACTTACATAGTCGGTATTTCAAGAGGGAAGCCCTGCTGGTAGCATTGATAGTGTCAAGCACTGTATATTGGCCAGAGGAATCATTTAAAATAACTCATATGTGTCAACCCTTTAGGTCACAAAGACTGCGGTGTACCTTTAATAAAAACAATAATAAATTTTATTTATACTGTACTTTCCATCGAAAGGTATTAAGGCACTACAAGTAAAAAAAGAGAAAAGCATGAAAAAGCTATTTTTAGAAGAGGGAAAAACATCTAAAGGGGAGCAAAAGCTTTGCTAAAAAAATGTTTTAAGACCTTTTTTAAAACACTCATTGTATAGAGGTGCCCTCAAGGTGTCAGGGCACTTTTAATGGTCAATCTTACTCATGCACCACAGTTAGTTGTGGAGTACCATTAAAATCTAGACATAATTCCAGTTTTTATAAAATGATGCAGCATGGTGAAAATTATCAGTAAGCTACTGATACTTGGAATATATTCAGTGATTTTATTGCAGGCAACACAGTCGACATTATGATCATTCAAAGGTTTAATGTTGTTGTTTTAGGTTATCTGCTGTAGAGGCATAATTAAGACTTTAAATATGGTATACTTTGGATGACATAGGCCCAGTTGGCTCCTGCACCATGAAATAACCGTACTATACTCAGAAAGAAGCAGGTTGTGATGCTTCTGTGTCAAATCTCAGAACCGTTTTGAAAAAAGGCAGTTCCTTTAGTCAAAATGCATCCAACCTGATATTACAGGGTTTCCACGGGTCATTAAAAATCATTAAATTATTTTTTTAAGGCTGTAATTGGCAGTAAAATTCATTAAATTTCGTAATTGTGGCATTAAAATACTTCAGAAAAGAAGCTTGAGGCGAAGAAAAGGCTAGAGAGTTGGGAAAAATGCAAATTTGAACCAAAGTGGCGGGAAAACGAGGAACTATATATATATATATATATATATATATATATATATATATATATATATATATATATATATATATATAGTCATGGGTACTTGTTGATGGCATTAAGATTATTTCTAAGAGCATTAACATAGCATTAAAAACCATTAAATACGAGTTACTCATTCATGTATAAACTCTGTATTAAGACAGGAGTTCATTATAAAAGGGTCTGGGGTTACTGAGGGTTTTGGATCTTTCCAAGTAGGATGTTCCCAGAACAGCTTTAGGGAAACAACCATTGGTGTCAAAAGTTCACACATTTGTTACTTCAGTAGAAGCATAGATACTGCAGTTTAAAAACACTCTGGTAAAAGTTGAAGTATCAACTTGACCTCTTTACTCAAGTAAAAGTGAAAAAGTATGTGCTCCAAAAACTACTTAAAATATAAAAGTATAAAGTAAAAAAAAACAGCCAGATTCCACTATATGAATGAAAGCTAATTTTTCGACTATTTCATAAAATTCTTTGAGATAGGGCCATGGATGAGGGAGGTCTTGTTGGTCTCCATCTCCCGATACGCTCTCGCATGTGTCCGACCTTTCAGACATTTCAGCATCTTTTTCTGAATCCCACATCGTAGCATGACATAGACAATTCACGTTAGCAGTTTGAAGAACACTTGCTTGCTTCTGATGATTTCCTTTAGCTAACCAATGAGTGTTTGCGTTATATGACTCATTCAATTACACTAGTTTTCACTAGATGTGGATGGAGCCAATGATCTGCATTGGATGGAGCACATGACGGGAAATAAATATTTATAAACATTAAACCAAAGCCAAGAGTAACGAGTAACAGTTGTTTAAAAATGTAAGGAATAGAAAGTACAGATGCTTGTGTGAAAATGTAATGAGTAGAAGTCAGAAGTAGGAAGAAAAATAAGTAATGGAGTAAAGTATAGATACCTAAAAAAATTACCTAAGTACTGTAACGAAGTATTTGTACTTTGTTACTTGACACCTCTGGAAACAATCAAATGAAACCATTCTTTTCCTGAAATGTGTTGTTATGTTATCCACTCCTTTGTTGTTGTTTTTTTTCAAACTATAATGTCCAGAGGAAAATCATTTTGAAAATAAACAGACAAACAGGGGGGAACTCAATCTAAGACAAAAATAAAGACCGAAACCAAATTTAAACTCAACAAAAAAAAAAAAAAATACAAACTCTAAAAGCAAAACTTTAGAAGCATCCTGTCCACATATTTCACCTAAATGCGTCCATTTTAACCCTATAACTTGATTTATAGCGTTTTTTGTTGGGATTTAGAACTGACAGGCTGCAGCGCAGTAGCCACATATGGCCACCAGATGGAGCTATTGCTCAGCGAGTCCAGACAGAAAGATAAACCTTGTTGTAGCAGAAAGTTACCAGCAGGGGGTCCACGGAGGTACTTCATGGGGGCTCACCAAAGTTTTAGTTGATAACACTTTTTTTTTCTATATCCCTCCCTGCATTTTAACCACTAATTGAAATGTCTTTAAACCCACATCAACATGAATTCAACACACTGTAGTAAACAGATAAATGGAGGCAGAAGATGTCTTTCAGTCATCAATGCACACATTCAGTGACACACAGGAGCTCTTTGAAGCTGGGCACCGTTTCATTCACACCTGTCCCATCAACCAGGAATCAGAAATACTTTAATAATCCCAGGGAGAAATTACTTTAGTTTCATTACTCCATATGTAATAGAGTGACTATAGGACCAGTTTGATAGAACACAATTTCATACAATATATATAATTAGGGGGTCCCTGCTCCATCTCTCAATCAGTTTGGGGGTCCTTGGCCTGGAAAACGTTGAAGACCCCTGGTTTAAAGGGTATAAATACTTTTCCAAGCCACTGTATGGAATTATCTGCAAATAAACATTAACATTTATTTTCAACGGGCTGCTCAGCAGGGCAGTGGGTAGCAATGCTGCCTTGCATCAATCAAGAAAGTTCCAGGTTAGATTCCTGGCCTGGGGTCTTTCTGCATGGAGTATGCATGGGTTCTCTCCAGGTACTCCAGCTTCCTCCCACAGTCCAAAAACATGACTGTTAGGTTAATTAGCTTCTCTAAATTCTTCTTAGGGGTGAGTGTGTGCCTGAATGGTTATTATTGCAGAAATAAAATCAGTAAAATAACTTTGAATCTTCAGGTAGAGGCTTAAGTCTTAGAAAACCTCTGCTCCTCTTTTGCATAATGAGGTAGAAAATGCAGAGAAAAAACGTCTGAATAATATTAATAACAAATATTGAACTTTACTGATCTAACACTGGAGATATTTACCTCAGCATTTAACCCATACCATTGGGGAGCAGTGAGTGAATGAATTAATGAATAAATAAATAAATAAAAGCATGAATGAATAAATTAATATGGGAATGAAAAAAAATACATTATTCAATTAATTATGTTTATTATGCATTAATTTACTTCTGCATTTACTCATAGTTATGTCCATTTTGGTCCTCCATAAACTAAGAATTACAAGAATTCAGAAAAATGAAACCAGTATTTTTTTCTCACTAACCTTTCAGTGCAAAAAAAAAATATATTTTTTTCCTAGACCAATTATTACAGAAATTGAAGAAAAAAAAAAGAAAAACTACAAAAATATTTAATTATTTTTTTCACACTCATATAGAAATAGTCTTATTTAATAATAATAATAAAAAAAAATCCCACTTACCTTCCAAGGATTCCATAGAATGCGTATAATAGATCAGATCCCAGTTAAAACACACGGAGGCCAATCCAACATGTAGAAAAATTTTATTATTATTTTCACAGTATGTAAAATCATCATCTATTCATATTGAACCAAATCAGTTCCATAAAATACACCTAAATGTCCCATTATTCCTCCACCAATCAAAAAGCATCTCCTGGGCTGATGTCATCCACCTGAGCTTAAACCCGGACACTCCGTCTGATGCACCAATCATCAAACATTACAGAAAATAATCAATAAAAAGTTAAAAATGGCGATTAAAAAAAGTCAGTATTTCACAACCATTCAAGTTATTCGTTCAACCGTTGTGAAAAAAAATAAGAGATTAGGAGGCGGCGGCTGCGCTAAATCAGTTTACTGGTTATTTATACTGAAAAGATACAAAATGTAGTAGAAAACAAATAAGAAATCCCTTCAGTCGACGGATGGATCGTAAAAACCGAGCTCCTGTAAACGGCTGCGGTAAGGCTGTAAACTGAGAAACCTTTCAGTACAAACACGCTGCAGCTTTAATGGCCGAGGCAGGGATCAGTGTTCAGGTTAGAGGAAAATAAACAATCATCACCTGCATGAGTCTTTATTTTCTACATTTTAACCACACATTTTATAAATACATAAGTATTTTTCCAGCAGGAAATTTGGCAAAGCTGCTCCGCAGGATTTGAAGTGCTCTTTTAAACAGCGACAATCCGGCTTTATTAGGAACGAATACCAGAACGGTTTGGGCTGCAGACATTCACACAGCAGAATATCAGCTTTTTCTGAAGTTGTTTCATTGTGTTTGGGATCAACATTCTGTTGGAAGGCCCGCATGTTTCAGGCATCTCAGGTAAAAAGAAATGCTTTATACGGTTAGAAAGGACCAAGCTGATCATCAGCTCCAGTGTCCACAGATAGAGCGGCTTTAGGTGGAGTGAGAGAATCAACATTTTTCAGTTTTCACTCCGCCGTTTGATCACAGGGTCTCGGATCTCTGCACCAACTGTAAGGCAAAGCAGTGGCAGGGTCATGCTGTGAGATGCTCTGCTGCTAATGCTGCATAAAATCGGTTTAAATGATAGAGGTTAACTAGTAACTGGTTTTCAGATAGAACGCTGGTCCCAAACTGGTTTCAGAAAGCATAAACTGTCAAAAACCGAACCTAAATGATGCAATGACCTTTTTAATGATGTCAGGGTGTGATGTCACCAAGTATCAGCCGTGTTTATGTAAATGTTTAATATTCAAGCTGTCGTGATTAGATAAACTCTACAATTAATCTGAACCTCCACACCAGGCTGAGTGAGGCAATGTTAGCAGCTAACTTTAAAAAAAAAAAAACTGTTAAAACCCAACAATAAATGTCCAAATGAATACAACATTCATGCCGTAAAGACCGCTGACCAGAACCACTGTGTCAAAAGTTGGAAATGCTCGACTGAGCGGCTGGAAGTTTCATCCATGAGTCAGAGAGCGTAAAAGAAACATTCATTGAAGGCCGGCCAACGACCATCAGAAAGGACTCCAACCTTTGTGTTGAGGGTCCAATGACCTGAGGTCCTCCTCCGCCAATAGTGCACAAAAGAAGCCCTAAGAGTTTTTTCCAGGCAGCCTGATGAAGTGTGTTTATGGAGATGTCCAACACGGGTGTTTTTATGTGCAACTCCTTCCCGGTCACATCTGGTACAGTTTGTGGCAGGGTGGGCTTTAGTGCTACCTGGAGACGCTCGGGATTAGTCTTTTAAACCAGCGGCCCACGGCCACGTCGACTCTGATGACTAACGTGACTCCGATCAGCAGGAACGTGCTGCTCACCAGGAACCCGGAGGCTTCAAACATCAACCTGGGGGAACAAAAGAAAAAGAAGTTTTCTTTAAACATTTTTCATGTTTACTAGGGGTGTAAATAATAATCGTTTTGTATCGATGCATCGATCCAACAGCCGACGATCCGATGCATCGACACGTCCGCAAGAGAATCAATTCATGTTTTTTTTTTCCTCCGGTCTATTTTTATCCATTTGCTCCTGGGCGTAATTCTCCCTCCCGTGCTGCGGTGGCGCTAAACCTATTTTGCCCTCCTACCTCGCTTCCTGGTTATTCTCTTACAGCAGTGTGTTGCAGTGAGCTTGATGCAGACATTTTTAAATTATGCTCAACATTGAAGCGTGGTCTGTGCTACACGCTGTGGGTCTAGATACGGCCGAGGCGGCGAGGAAGTGGGGGCGAGTTTAGTCCGACGACGGAGGGACATGAGGGCCAAAAAGAGCGGAGATCCAGGTGGAAAAAGGCTCCCAGCGTTCTCGCGCACCTCGCTCTTCTAGCGGGTCAAAGTTCACGAGTTGTTTTCCGCAATTTCGGTCATAAAAACAAAACAAGCCGGCCTCCTGTCTGCGGCAGTGTCTGCAGTCAGCTACAATTTGGGAGAGGAGCAGCGGAGCGTCTGTGGAGGGGGCGGGACGTCTGGAGCCGAGGTATTGCATTGCGCTAATTGCACTGATTTTCTGCAGTATTTTTTGATGCAAAGCCTTTAAGAATCTATAACGCAGGGTTATTATTATTTTTCAGTGAATGAGGTTTTAATAGGAATAGGTAGAGTACAACTTTTCTACTTCTGTTATTTGCTGTTGTTTCTAAAAATAAAAATGCATAATGATATTACAGCTTTCATTGATTTATTTCAAACTTGAAACATTGTCTAGCCTGTAAGAAAAAAACAACAAAAACAATTAATTGAATCTAATCGTATCGTGGTGTATTCTTGAGTATCGAAAATAATCGAATCGTTGGGTCAGGATATCGATACTGAATTGAATCGCCATGATGGATGTGATTTACACCCCTAATGTTTACCATGCTTGGATCTAAAGCATCTCCAATCACACTATCATTTGTAACAAGGTGGAGGACAGTGTTGTGCCTGAACGCGTTCATTGAACGCAAGTTCATGAACTTGTTCATATTTTGGGCGAACGTGAACTGAACGTACTGCATTACTGCCTGATGAACATTATTGTGAACTCGTTCATTCTGGTGTCTGTGAACGGCACGCTCTCTCAGTTCAACTCCGTTCAATAGGTTGCCAGATTTCTATAGAGCCCTCCAGGCGAAATCACACCGTAAACAGGCCTTAATATGTAGCGGGGAAAACACCCAATCTGGCAACACAGGCTACCAGTGTCGTAGCCCACAGCCGCGTGCATCATCAAAACAAAATGCAGCGTAGAAGCCACAGCAGCATGGAGACGACTTAAAACAGGTTTATGACCAGGTGGTCGGTGAGGATGATGGCAACAATCGTACATTTCTCTGCAAACTTTGCCCGCCGGCTTTCAGTAAAAAAATCCGCACTTAAACCTGCCTGGTATAATTTTCCAGGATTCCTTTTTAGTATGTACTGAAATGGAATTTCAAATGGAAAAAAATTATTAAAATAAAAAAAACATTTGCTCCTTAAAGACTACTTTCCTGTTTTTCTTTTAATAATTCCTCATAAAAAAGACCATTCAAGCAGCACCTGATGTTTTTGAGAATATACTGTAGGGGTGAAAGCTGCAGCTGCTACTAGTGTGAAGTGAATGGACAGCAACAAAGCGTTAAAGCAACAATGGGGAAATGCTGTCCCCTCAATGCTAATGTAAACCCTGGTTGGATAAGGATTCAAAACTGGATATGAAGATGAAATCTGACGCACAGTTTCAGAGTTACAACTGATAAAATAATTGCTGTCTGTGGTTCTACAGTAGGCTATGGTGTAATTGAGCAATATATGAAAAAAAGAAATGAACTAGTTCATTTTTTGGAACTGTGAACTTAGTTCAAAATTTTGAATTATGAACTATGAACTGAACTAGTTCATTTTAAAATGTGTGAACTGAACTTTGAACTAGTTCACGTAGAAAGAGAACTTTCCCAACACTGGTGGAGGACACACAGCATACTTTAAGTCTAGGTTTAAAGTTTCCTTTTTGATCAAATCAATAACTAGACACAGCTTATTCTGAGTTATCTCAGTATTAGTTAAGCTGCTATAGACTTAGGCTGCTGAAGGACAGAAAGACCATTTTCCCCTCACTCTGCTAGATTCTTGTACCGTTTTCTTATATTGCAGTTTTTTGGTGTTATTTTAGATTTTAGCTTCATGTTCTCCTTCTGTTTATCTCCTTACAGTAAACCTGTCTGGCCTGGGTGTCAGCAACTTAATGTTCTATTCAATTCAGTTTATTTATATAGCGCCAATTCACAAAAAAATGTCCTTTCAAGGCACTTTACAGAGAGAATTCAGGTAGATTAACCAATCAGGTTGGTTCAAAGTTTTCTATGGAAAACCAGCTGATTGCTTCCAGTCATTAACTTTGCAGGATTAACTTCTCCTGGATGAGCATGTGGCAACCATAGTTTAGGTTGGGTGGTTACGCTTTGTCCAGATTTTTAAAAACATTTACTGTTAAAGCTGGAAATGAAGTCAGATACTCACTTGGGTGCAAAAACCTTCCACACCATTAGGTGTCTCCTGAGAATGGCAGCAGCACAGACTGAGGAAAACGTCTGAGGGAAGGTGAGACACGGAGGTTTCATAATTTAAATCAGAAAATGCACATAAACAAACGAGGCAGTAGTAAACGACCTGACCTGTGCTCCCAGGATAAAGAGGTAGCGTGTTGCGAGCTGCAGCAGAGCGGCGCTGAACTGATGGGGGTTCTCCCTCAGTCTCATTTCCATCACGGCGTCCTCGCCTTCTTCCCCGTAACCTCGGCCCCCTCTGCTCCCTCTGACCTCACGCACCAGAGGCCAGAACAGCAGCAAAGGACAACCCACTGGGAAACAATCAGAAATCTTAATTGACTTCCAAAGCGATAACAGAGGTTTCACCTCAGACATGTCATTTTTTCTCATTTTCCTTTAAAAAAAAAAAGCAAACAATGTGCCAAAATAACCTGGGCCCCATTTTATAAAGCAGGGTTACACAGAGTTAAGTGACAATAACTATGCAGACAACACACAGGTGTACATCAGCATGTCACCCGGTGACTATGAACCCATTCTGGGTAACAAATATAAAACGGTCTTTAGCTAAATCTGATCAAAGGAGGAGTGTTTTAAAGTTACCAAACAGCTTCAGCTGCTAAAGCTAGAAACCAGCAATCAGGCTCTAAATGTGGGTGTAGCGATGGACTCACACCTGAACCTTCAGAGGCTAATAAAGAAAGGAACAAAGTCAACCTTCTATCATCTCCAGGATTAAAGGACTAATATCTTGATAATCTAATCCCTGCTTCTTTCATCTTTAATATAAATCCCTGCAGCTGTGTTTTCACAGGTCTGCCTAAAAAAAAAAAAAAAAAAAAAAAAAAAAGGATCATACAGCTGCAGCTGATCCAGAATGCTGCTGCCTGCGTCCTCACTGGAGATTAGAAAGTGGAGAACATCAGCCTGGTCCTAAAATCCTTCCTCTGGCTCTCTGTATCGTATCTCGGAAAAAATAATTTAAAATACGTCTGTTAGTCTATAACAGGGGTGTCAAACTGGTTCCAGAAAGGGCCGTGTGGCTGCAAGTTTTCTTTCCAACCAAGCAATAGCACACCAGACTCCTGTCCTCTCATTAAGTGAGTCCAAATTTAACATGATGACTTGATGAGATGGATGGTGTCTGGTGTGCTACTGCTTGGTTGGAAAGAAAACCTGCAGCCACACGGCCCTTTCTGGAACCAGTTTGACATCCCTGGTCTATAACATCTACGGAAGAGGATTAGGGCCACTGAAAAAAAAAATTCTGACTTTTTTCTCAGAATTCTGACTTTTTTCTCAGAACTCTGACTTTTTTCTCAGAATTCTGACTTTTTTCTCAGAATTCTGACAGCTAACAAACATGTTAGAATCAAGCCATAGCCATGTCTGTTTTAGAGACTAGCTCTCTTGTTTTAATGACCTTCTGCTCCTCCATTAATGAGGGGACCCCTCGGACACGTTAAAAGTTGCCTAATTCCATCATTTTCCACCAATGTGTCACTGGCCACCTCAAACAACTCACATCTTTGTCAGTGAAGCTGAGTGCTCCACATCTCTCCCTTCATGGAGCCCATCTACATTAAAATCCAAAATTCTGGGATTAAAGTCAGAATTCTGAGAAAAAAAGTGATTAAAGCTACAGTGTGTAATTTTCAGCGACATCTAGCGGTCAGACTGCAGACCGCAGCAACATGAACATCTCCCCCCCCACTGCTTCTCCCCCCCAACAGTACGGCGAGCGTTACGGGACAAAATGTCTTCCACAACGTCCGCATCACCTACCTTCTCAACTGATGAGGTTTGTTTACATAGATAATTTTACAGATAGTATTTCATTAGTCTGTGTAGGGTATAGATTTCAGTACCGTCTCAGTTCATCTCTCTCAACTTGCCGTAGTTACTTTCGAGCGTAATGGGCGATCTCGCAATCGCTAGTTTGTTGGCTCTGCGCTGCCGTAGAGCAAAGATGTCTGCCTCCATGGCTGCGAGACCCGCTCCTATGTAATTATAAATAACGAATTCTAAGGCAACGCAAATATTAAGGTTAAGAGGCTGAGCTCGTAGATGATGATAAATAACATAGTTATGTATAATATATTACATTTCTGACTGTATATCTCTGTAATTATTACACACTGTAGCTTTAAAGTCAGAATTCTGAGAAAAAAAGTCATAATTCTGAGAAAAAAGTCAGAATTCTGAGAAAAAAGTCAGAATTCTGACTTTTTTTCCCATGTTAAACTGAAATAAAATTTAAAATTCTGTTACCTTTTTTTTTTTTCCAGTGGCCTTATTCCTCTTCCATAAAAATCACATCTCATTCCAAAAAGTAAAAAAAACAATCTACTGGACTTTTCGCTTCCAAACCAGGAAGCTTTTTTTAATTCAAAATGTCAGAAATAGCGTTGAGTTCCAGGCTTTATAGAGTGGACCAAAACAAAGCCTTGCTTGGGCTTAGAAAACATGCAAATTGAACCGGAAGAACAGGTCCGCCCATTTGGAATGGGAGTCGTTTGGTTTCTTTTGTTAGCCTGCATTGCCCCATATCTGTCTATATCTCTGAAAGGGGAGCTATTGGTCCACTTTATAAAGCCTCAAACTCAACGCTATTGCTGACATTTTGAATTGAAAAAGCTTCCTGGATGGGAAGCGAAACATCTTCAAACTTGGAAACAAAGTCCAGTGGATTGTTTTTAACTTGTTTGGAATGACTATAACCTGGATGACTGGGAATCTTCACCAGCACCCTGAATGGCTTAAGACCAACATTTAATACAGCCAGACCTCTGAGGTCTACTGGATCTAATCTACTCAGCAGAACCAGAACCAAACATGAAAAAGCAGATTTTCCTATTCTCCACTAATCTGGAATAAACACCCAGAAAACAGTCAAAGAGCTGAAGTTGCTTCAAATCCTGATTAAAAACGTATTTTCAGAGCAGCCTTTAACAGAGCCATTTAAACATTAGTAGCTTAACTTTCCTTTCATTGTATATTTTTATATAATTACCTTATATCTTGTATTCTTAATGTATATTTATTATTATTTGTATTGGCTTTATGCCACAGCAGTTTACTTTTCTTCTCATGTTCGGCTCTTTAATGTCTCGCTATAGAAATGTCGTACATAGAAAAACATGTCTTGTCTGAGGAGGTGAAGATCTAGAAGGTTTGGGAAACCAGAAACTTCACTAGGATTTTTCTCACATAATACTTAGGTAAAAAAAAAAATTAAATTGATTATTATTACTATTGATGACATAAAGCCCTGAAATCAAAAAAGTTTCTCTTTTAGTAAAATGTTCATTAACTCACCAGCAAATAAAATGTGTGAGGCGAAGGTGTTGAGAGTAACCAGGGAGGCTGGCAGCACGGTGCCCACGTGTCCGTCTGGGAATCCCACAAAGGCCGCCCCCCACTGGATGGAAGGGAAGGTGGGCAGGTGACCGGTGGCGTGGAAGAACTGTGAAGCAGCCAGCGACCACAACACCACAGGCGTCCACGGGACGTTAAAAGCACCTTAGGGGGAAACGTGGAGAAACGATGAGAAGCAGCATCCTGGTTTTAACGCCGGAGGATCAGCACAGGAGGGATTTCTTACCCGGGTTAGCTCCAGGTGAGCCGCTGAGGGTGGTGGAGGAGGCGTGGATGTGGAGCAGAGCTCCCATTTCTAGCAGCAGCAGCAGAAAGGCCAGACTCATCCCCTCCGGGTGCAGCAGCAGCAGCCCGACTCCCAGCAGGCCGCAGAACAGCAGCAGCGGAGCGGAGTACACCGTTCCCAGTCCGTAGGCCTCCACCGCGGGCCTGTTGTCGTCCTCGCCGCCTCCGCTGAGCTCCCCGTCCTCCAGGGAGCGACGCATGCGCTGGTAGATCTGTGGGATCAGGTGGTGCAGCTCGGCCTGCGGGCTGATGGCGGTGCTCGCCCGGTAGCGGGGAGGAGGGAGGGCGGAGCTCCTGGATGAAGCTGCGTTCCGGGTCTTCATGAACACAGTGAGCGGGTCCGCCCAGACCAGGGACAGCGCCACCCCCAGCAGGCAGAAGGCGGCTCTGGGCAGGGCCAGCTGTGCCGTGCGGATCAGCTCCGCCAGCTGCCGGAAAGCGTCCTCCGCCGTGGCTCCGACAGCCCAGTGGAGCCCTGTGCAAACACAAAGCAGCGGCAGAAACCACCGAGCGGCGAAAGCGGAACCCCCAGAGGAGTTGAGGTTGCCGTAGTGACATAGGCAGAGTCTCAGGAGGTACGCACAAACAGCCAGAGAGGCGACAGATAAAATGTAGTAGATGTTCTTCAGCTGGTTGTCCTGCAGCCGCGAGAGCGGGGAGAGAAACGGCGACGGCTGGCAGAGGCCCTGCTCCTCTCTGCAGCCGTGAAACCATAGCGACAGGTAGGAGCAGAGGACCAGAAGACCCAGGCAGCCCAGCAGGGTGCCGCTTTCCTTCCTGACGGCTGCTGGAGTTAAAGTGGGTGAAGGCAGCAGCCCCGCAGACTTCAGAGGATCGGGCGTCGGAGGCAGAAGATGGCCGTTCCAGTTGAGGTGGATGGGAACGCAGATCGCCAGAGAGAGCAGGAGGAAGGTCACGACCCGGCCTTCGTAGATCACATAGCTGTCAGAGAGCAGGGAGGCACAGCGGAGGAGCGCCACGGCGAGCCACGGCAGCAGGAGGCGGCGCGGGATGAGCCACCTGGACAGCTTCGAAGCTTTGGCTCCGTTCTTTAAAACGGCGGAGCGCTTCAGCCGCCAGGCCCTCCATAGGAAGATCACCTCCGAGCTGATGGCACCCGCCGCCAGGCTCCACGCCGCCTCTGCGTAACCCCGGGTCAGCAGCTGAGCGGCGGCGACACCGACTCCGACAGCTATGGCCACGGTAGCCGGGGCCTTCAGCGCTGCGCGTTTCTCCTCCGTCAGCACCACGGACAGCTCTGACGTCACCAAACACGCCAAGCAGGCGAACGTCAACACGGCCAAACCGCCTGCCATCTTCGCCGGGTTGAATCGGGCCCACGTTGCTCGACAGGTGTCCCTGACGGCGGTGAGGTAAGCCTGCAGGGAGGAGGCCAGGCGCTGCGAGGGCGCCCGCCCCTCTCTGAGCGTGCTGAGGTACTCTGAGGAGAGGCGGGCGAACTGAGCCTTCAGCACAGAGAGGCTCTCTGGGTCGATGTCTTTGGCCAAACCAGAGTAGGTCTCCAGGAAGCGGTTCACCTTCAGGAACAACGGGGAAAGAAATCACCACATGCTTCAAGGGTTCTAATGCTCGTCCAGAAAACACAGAGTCTGTGAATTAACCACCGACCTGTTTGGTGTTGATCCACAGCGCCTCCAGCTGGCTGAGGCATCCGTCTGCGGCTTCTGTCTGCTGATGTGGCGCAAACAAAGGCAGCAGGACCTGCCCCACGCTGCTGAACGGGATCGGTATTCCCAACAACAGGGCCAGAGTCGGAACAAGGTCCGTCTGAGGAACAACATCCGGCTCGTCCTGCAAGAGAAAAACAACAAACAGTCAAACAACAGAAATGTTTTCAGAATAGATCGCTGTCCAGGTCGATCGATCTCCGCCAGTCACGTGACATCTGTTGCTAAGACGCCATTTTAGGTGGAAAAGGAGTAGTGTAAACAACCGCAGCATAGCTAAACGAAGGACTAAAGGCCCGTTTACCTAGCAGCCTGTCCAAGATAAGTCATTACAGTTAACATAAGCCTGAAAACAGGGGCGGATTTAGGAAAATCGGTCTCCGCCAGTCACGTGACATTTGTTGCTAAGACGCCATTTTAGGTGGAAAAGGCGTAGTGTACCGCGCCCGAGGTAAACAATTGACGTCACTTGGCGGAGACCGATAACCAGTACTGGAGTGGAGGGGGGATGAAATCCTGCTTCTTAAATGATATAACATCCCTGTGACATTTTATCATTTAATGTGTAAAATTTCTACTATATATTAGTCAGGGTTCCTACAGCATAAGACAAGTTAAATTCAAGACTTTTTAAGACTTTTTAATGCCACTTGAAATAAAGATTTAAGACCAAATTCACAAGAAACACAAGAAAAACCTGCTTGCGACAACTTAACCCAAAGGTTTATTTTAACATAAACCACTGCACTGATGTTTCACATTTTGAAAAGCTTCTCATACAGGAAGAAAGCTAAAAACACACAAATGACAGATATATTTTAACAATTATTTAACTGAATTCACAAACTTTGTTTTAGCAGGGAACTAAACAAATCAGTTTTAAAGCCCCAACATAACCAGTGCTAAGTCTTTTTTGCAGCGATTTTTCTTTGTATGGTTTTCTTAGTATGTTTGATTTGGTGATAAGTGGAGGCGTTGCAGAGACAACGGTGGAACTAAACCGAGAAATACCGGCTGTTTCTCTGTAACTCCATTTTGACGCTTTGTGTTTCGTGCTTCGCATGTGCGACTCCACTGCCTTAATTCCCATCGTTCTGAGCTTGAATGACTTCTTGCACTAAATCCACTGAGCCTCATGTATGTTCCCTGGTTTTAGCCATGGAGAAAACTCTCGGTTGGAGACAATTTTGGTTACATTTACACTTGATCATATTTTCCAGACAAAAAGTAAATGCCGCATCTCCCAAATGTCCCGGCCGCAACAACGCTTTATTGGTTCCGCTATCGGGATGGAACCAATAATGGCGAACAGTTATTTTTTTTTTTTATAAAGAAAAAAAAAATTGTCAATTGTAACGTTTTATTTAGATTACAAAAATAAATTGTAATAAAAATAATCCTATTTATGATGTTTTAAAAATTAAGACCTACGAAAGTCTTTTTAAGGACCCGCCGGAACCCTGTTAACAGTAATGGCAATAATATTTCCCTTTCAATATTCGGCGGGCTGTGGGCTAACGAGTAGCCTGAGGGATGTACCTGACATGTAACAACCATACCATGCATATTGCTTTAGGATAATAGACTAGTTTAATTAGGCTATGTAGGCTTCAAAAAATCAAAAATTCCACAATCCCCCTTCCTTTTTTTTTTTTTTTTTTTACAACTAGACTACTGCTGATAACTGATATACACCCCTACTATATCTCTGATATAAGCTCCATCTGATATCAGAGATCTGATTGTTCCTTATGTTCCTAACAGAGCACTTCGCTCTCAATCTGCAGGTTTACTAGTGGTTCCTAGAATTTCTAAAAGTAGAATGGGAGGCAGATCTTTTAGTTATCAGGCTCCTCTCCTGTGGAACCAACTTCCAGTTTTAGTCCGTGAGGCAGACACCCTGTCTACTTTTAAGGCTAGGCTTAAAACTTTCCTTTTTGATAAAGTTTATAGTTAAAACGAGGCTGATCAGAGCTTAGTTGCTGGATAAGAAGAGAGATAGGTGAAGGTAGAGCATAAATAGCCCGATCTGGCAGGGAGAATTTCAGTCCGGATAGACGTTTCTCCTTGGCTCTACTTTGGTCCTAACCTGAAACCTTCCATTGAAGTAATTTTGGGAAGGGGCGAAAATACTGGTTAGCTGATTGGCCTATGTTGGTGATAGACGGGCCAAATAAACCAATCAGATCAACGAAGCGTATGACGTACTAACAGCCACGCTACTCTTGCCGAAACCAGTCGGGAGAAGAGCAAAAACATCTTTCCCTCTGAGAAAAGCCTCCAGAGCAGTGTTTTGCTCTTCTTTCAGTGAAGAAATACTCTGTAATTCCGATAAAACTTGCTCGATAGCCACGCTAACGCTAGTTTCATCGGCTGAAGCCGCCATGTTCTTTAGACTGAACTGTCGCGCTTCTCGTTGCGTCACACCTCAACCCGCCTCAAAGCCAACGCTGATTGGACGTTCGTTTGGTGAACGGCTCCAAATTGTCTTTAACGGAGAGTCTCCAGACTGATTAGCGAGTGAAACCTTGAAAGCTCGCGAGATCAGGATGGTCTCACGAGGCTACTTTGGCCCCACTGTGGCTCTAACTTTCTTATACCTCATCGAAAGTACTTATCATGAGCTTTTTTCTGCATTCATGTTGCTATAAGCTTAGACTGCTAGAGGACACAGTAACCCCTTTTTATCATTCTATCTGTAATCTCCCATTCTGCAATATTTGTTATTTCAATCTTATGCTCTCTCTGCTTTTTCTCATAGTAGTTTCATCTGGTCTGTTTCTGTTTGGCTGTGACTCCATCCTGGAGAGAAATATCAGCTGTGCTGCCGCCATCAACACCTTTGTTTCTAGATGTTGGAGATCGGCCTGTTTCTGAGACTGTGGCTGGGTGTGTGTTTCCTGGACGGGGCCACCTGTGGAGCTGGTTTACAGTTGCCAGCTTTTTGTATCTCTGCTTCTGTCTCCTTGAACCCCAGTCGGCCGCTCACACTCTGGTTCTGCTGGAGGTTTCTTCCTGTTAAAAGGGAGTTTTTCCTCTCCACTGTCGCTACAAGCATTCTTAGTGTGAGGGATTGCTGAAGAGTCAATGAGTCGATGCAATCAACTGGTTTTCCTTAGATAGAAAACTTTTAACCCATCTGACTGTATAATCTGGTTGAATTGTCTCTATAAAGTGCCTTGACATAACATGTGTGGTGAATTGGTGCCATATGAGTAAACTGAATTAAATTAATAGCTAGTTGCTCACCTGAGACGGCGGACCAGGAAAGATGGCGGAGGGACTGTAGAGGAAGAGCGCAGCATCTGTCTCCTTCTGACTCTCTCCTCCATGGTCTCCTGTGTCGGTCATCCCATGGTCTCCCATCACCACCAGCAGGGTGTCGTTCTGCAGGCGGTCGATCACAGACCTGGAAGGAAAGACAAATACGGTAAAATGTCTTCATTGCGTCGCTCTAAACGACCGGCTTTGTCTAATTTAATGTATATCGGAGCATGAAAAACTGCCAACCTGATCACTCCGTCCATCTGGGTGAGCTTGTCGGACATGGCGGGGTGGTCGGGCCCAAACCTGTGCCCGCAGTGATCAACTCCGAGGAAATGGGCCACCAGCACGTCCCAGTCATCGCCCACCACTGCAGAAACCAGCAGAAACAGACACATGGGAGAGTGATGGGCAGAGGCGCCGGCATGACGTTTAAACAGGCGCTCCAGCGCGGCTGTTTCCACGTACTGGTGGAGTAGAGGTGCTGCAGGATGCCGTTATCCACAGTGTGAAGGTCCTTCACGTTGAAGGAAGGGAAAGGCAGAGAGCGGTAGAACTTTTTAGGGAACAGGCTTTCCCAAGTGTCGTCGCCCATGAAGACAACCCGTTTACCTGGGAAACAGAAAGCAGGATAAACGTTCAGTCCTCCCAGAATCATTCAGTATTTTTTATTCCGGGCTTGATTGTCCACTCCACTGACCGGAAATAGATGCTGCTTCATATCAGAGAAGGAAAATCCACCGCAGTGTCTGCTTCTGCTGCAGCATTTGGCTTCATGTTTAAATTAAGAAATACCAGCTGGAGATGGGATTATAGCCCCGTTTACACGCCCCTTTTGAAACTGTGCCCAGATCGAACTGAGCTCAGAACCCGAGATAACTGCTGAGTGAAAATGGTACGCAGAACAGAACCGGACAGCGGCAGACACAACCGAACCGCGTTAACATGGTACTAGTTCATCATTTGAATTGAGAAAGCTTCCTGGAGGAGAAGTGAAACGTCTTCAAATCTTGGAAACCAATTCCAGTGGATTGTGTTTTTTAAACTTTTACGGAACATCTTTTTTATTGGTTCCACTATTGGTACGGAAACAATAATGGTTACAGGGAGCGGTTCGGGAAATGTAAGAAAAATATTGTCAATTATGCTATTGTTTGACATGGATTACAAAAATAAAATCCCATTTATCATGTGGTAACAATTTTAAGACCTATAAACAACTGATCTAAGACATTTTAATACCAATTAAGGCCTTGAGTTTATATTGAAGATTTCAATGCCTTTTAAGACTTTTTAAGGATCTGCAGGAACGCTGGAGAGAACCAATCAAAGCCGTTCACGTCATCATAAGTGAAATCTTACATCAGAATGTAGCTGTTTTATTTTTGTTGTTGCTGTTGTGCTTCTGAAGGTGCAGCTCACCCATCTGTCCCAGCTGGTGGATGAGGTTATCCTCCAAGATGGCGCTGGATGCAAAGTTGTTGCCGACATCCACAAAGGTCGGCAGGGAGCCAGTGGTGAAGCCCTTGATCCTCTGCATGGTGGTGGTCGGTGGGTCTGCTCTGAACGGGTACAGGCGGCTCTGGCTGGGCCTGGAGGACACCGCCTCCTCCAACACCGGCAGCTTGTTCTCGTAGGCTCGCGGCGCGGTGTTGCTTCGGTCAAACCGGGCGAAGTCGATCTTCAGGGCGTCGATGATGAGGATCACAGCCCTGCGGAACCGAGGCCGGGCCTGGCAGAAGTCCAGCGGCTCCACGCCGGGCTGCAGCACGTCCCCGCAGGCGCTGGTCCGGTTCACCTCCAGCCTCACCAGCAGGAAGCCGCCCACGAACAGGTAGATGCCCACGAAGTAGACGGCGCAGAGCCAGACGAGCAGAGACAGAACCGTCAGTCCCTTCATCCTGAGCGGTGACAGCGGGTCAGAGGAAACACAAGAAATCTGACAGTTATAAATCTGATATATATTTAAAAAAATCAAATCGTGTAACTTTGGAGAAATAACCGTCCGCTCGGTGTGAAAGTAAAACAGTTAAACCGGCTAACAGCACCGAGTTAACCCTGCTAGCTGTGGCTAAACCTTCCTGTCTCAGTCACTGACCTTGTATCCGCGTGGATTTCACCTCTCTGCGTGGAGGCGGTCGTGGAGCTGTGTGTATGTAAACAACACAGAAGTCCTGGTGACTCAGGTAAACACGGAGCAGACGGGAGGCTCCTTCACCTTCATTTGGACTCATTCACATTCCAGGCCGGAAACCCGGCGGAAGTTCACGGCGGACTAGTTTTCCTCTTACCACCGGAGGTGTTACATCTTTTTTAGTCCGGGGGCAGCAAAGAAAACGCTTAGAAAATTTTATTTAGATCTTATTGCTTGTAGAATAACGCTGCAAAGCGAGAAGTGCAAAATAATGTAAAATTTATACATAAAATAATTAACATATACTTTTTTTCCCATCAATATACTATTTAGTCCCAGGAGAAAAATAATTGGGGTTAATTTTTCAAAATAATATAATAACCATATCATGTATTCGTTTATAAATACCACATTTCCAAACTAAATATTTAATTTGAAAGTTAAGTATCTAATTTACATAAATATTTATTTATAAAACTTTTTGTATCATCAAGCTAAATATTTTGACCAATTAAAGTTTTTATCTTCAAATTTAATATCGAGTTTCAATCTAAATGTTTATGTCCAAACTAAATACAAAATCAGCAAATTAAGGTTTTAAGTCCACACAAAACGTTTAGTTTATAACTAAATATTTAGTTTGTGTCATAAATAATTGGAAGCTAAATGTTTAGTTGAAATAATCTAATTTAAGTCTAAGTAGTAAATCTAAGTAAATGTTTGGTTTGTAAACTAAATATGTAGCTTGCGAATTAGGACTATATTTATACTTTAGTGCTTAATATTTAGCTGGAAAATTATTTTAATGATAAGTTAAATATTTTAGTTTGTAAATAAAATAATTTGCTACTTAAGTGTTCAGTTTTTAAACGTGGCGTTTATTAATGTATTAAAAAAAATGTAGTGATATGGAAATGAGTCCACAATATTTTGGGCTAAACAGCCTAAAATACTGAAGTGAATGTTTGACTAGATAACTTTAGAATAGAATACAATAGAAAATCATTTTATTGTCCCACTATGGGGTAATTCTGGTGTTTACAGCAGCAAAAAGATTATTGAAAAAAATTGTCACACAAATGTGGCCCGTAGAAACATGTATAAGAATAACATAATAGTGAAGAGTTAAAAGATAAAACATAAAAATGCTGTTCTGTAAAGTGTTTTAACAATATAAAAAAACTATGCACCTGGAGAATAAATAACCAATATCCAGCTATGGACATTTTACAGTAATGGATATTTGAAAATAGCAGCAACATCAGAGATGTGCAAAATGGCAGCAGCATGTTATTTGACTGAGATAGAAACTGCACAAAACCAGCATGAATTTAACTATTTATTGAGGTTGTTGGGAACAGTGGTGGTTATAAAGTCTTCCAGCTGCTGGGAGGAAGGATCTGTGATAACGCTCCCTGGTGCATTTAAGGTGCAGCAGTCTGTCACTGAAGGAGCTGTCCAGTTCAGCACCAGCTTCATGCATGGAGTGGGAGACATTATGCAACAGATGTCAATTTAGTTAGGATTCTTTTGTTTCCCACTTGCTACACTAAGTCCAGAGGGCATCCAATCACAGAGCTGGCCTTCCTGATCAGCTGATTCAGCCGCTTTCTCTCACTGGAAAAATCAAAATCTAGAGAAGTTATTTTTCTTAAAATAGGCAGAGATGGGAAGTAACGAAGTACAAATACTTCGTTACTGTACTCAAGTAGATTTTTCTGATATTTTTACTTTACTTTACTACTTATTTTTATGGCGACATTTTACTTCTACTCCTTACATTTTTACACAAATATCTGTACTTTCTACTCCTTACATTTAAAAAAATTGTCTCGTTACTTTAGTTTTGAATCATTTCAATGGAGTTACCGTTATTATTTTTCACGTCATCAATACCAAATTCAATCTAATTGGATGGGAATCTACGTTGCATTTGACGCACCACTACAAGATGAATCGACAGATTCGGCGGGATTCATTGGCGGCAAATCATCGCAGCTTGCTGGCGGTGGCGTTAGCATAGTAGCATGGACGACGAGATGATTGAAAATGAACACAACGGAGATCTAGTCCTATTGGCAGACATCCATTTAAAATGTAGGCAACGGCATGAAAAAAGTGGTTTCTACTTTTACTTTTATACTTTAAGTAAAGTATAAAAGTTTTTTTTTTTTTACAAGCCTGTACTTTGTTACTGTTACTTGAGTAAAGAAGTTTAATCAGTACTTCCACTTTTACCAGAGTATTTTTTAACACAAGTATCTGTACTTTTACTCAAGTACGGAAAGTCAGTACTTTTGCCATCTCTGAAAATAGGTGCATTTGTTCTCGGATTGAGGAGGTAAAAGAAACATTTTGCCAACGGAACAAGATAATTTACACTTAAAATAAGAAAACACAAATGCATTGTCTCATTTCAAGTACATATTATATAATTATCTTATTATAATAGTAAAAGTACCCATTCCTTTTTTGGCAAACTATCTCATTTACCTACTGAAATTAAGGGTAAATACATTAATCTAAGACATTTTTACTTATTTCTAGAACGTTTTTCCAGTGCTCAGCCACTGCTCCATAGAAGATGGCTCATGCCACGGGGTCATAGGTCTTTGTTTTTAAAAATGGCATCTGATACATCTATGCTGCAAAAAAACGTATATATGCCACTACCATTTTGAAGGTATTAATGAAAGCTCCCAGAGGTCCAGTATTGGTGTCAATTTATTTAGCTAAGTCTGCTGGATTGTGCAGCAAACATTATGGGTTGTGCTTTGCAGTTTTAAAACTAGGGGCAAGAGTTCAACCCCTTTGACCTTAGAATTATTTTCTATAACTTTAAGACAATTTGAGCTGTAAGACACCAATTTCCCTTTATTTAAGGAAGGTGTAGGGCAACTCCAGTCTGGTTCTCATGGAGCATGAATACTTTGGAGACAAATTTGTAAAAAAAATAAAAACAAATGTCTCTTTTCATATGGCATGTAGCAATTCTGATACAAACAGCACCATTTGATCTGTAATAAATTTAACAATCCCATGTTTGTTGGTTATTCCTTACTTACTGAATCTCCTTACTATTATTAAATAAATGCAAAATGTTTTAAAAAATGTATCATTATGTAGGCCCCTTTGTGTTTAGAAACAGCTCTTCAAACTGGGAAAAATAAGAAAACAAGCCATTCAAGAATTTATTGCCAGTCTCCAAATGTCGGCAAATATTTACCGTATTTACGAATGAAAAGAAGTAAAAACTGGAAGCTATGAGGAATAAAGTTTATTTTCCCACCACAACAGTAAGGATGACAGAAAATAAAATGTAATTAAAGCTCATGGTTATTGAGCCAAGATGATCTTACTGCAAAAAAGGGTAAAATATATAAGTTCAAAGGGTTTTTAATGATCTTTATTAAGGGTGCCAATAGTTTTAAAGGAGGTTGTACAAAGTAAAAGTAGCTTTATTTCATTTCCAGATGGGCCAACATTTCGGTCAGTGCTGCAGAAATCTGGCCTGCAGGCTGATGTGTTCACTTAGACAGTCGGTGAGGATCCTCTAACAGATGCGTTTTTCTTTCGTACTCCGAGGGAAAGACGGACGTTTTCACACAGTCTGCACGTTCTCCTTTGAGTCCAGCCAGGAGAAGGTTTGAGTGAACCGCTCGGCCAACAGAGCCTCGACCGCTTCATCATTTCCTGCTTCATTTCACATCCTGAGTTCATTCACTGAGTCCTCTGCTCTTCAGGGGACGCCAAATAGTCTGGAAGATCATCCTTCTTCTCCGGCGGCGGCGGCGCTGCTGATGATGGTGAAGCAGTCTTGGCCAGTGTGCTGTAAATGGTCATGGCCTGAATACGGCAGAACAAACACTTTGGGTTACCACTGGTGTTACAGTGACGGGCGACGCTGCAGGCGGCGGCTGATACGAACCTGTGTGACCATTCCTGAGATGTCACCGGTGTTCGAGGGCAGAAGGACGGTGTTGGTCTGCTTTGCCAGGTTGGAGAATGCAGAGACGTACTGTTCAGCCACACTCAGGGAAGCTGCTGCGTTTCCATTCTGTTTATATAAGCAGATAAAAACACAACTCTTTTATTCTCATTAAAAATGTGCAGCAAACTTTTTATTTCATTCTTTTATTTAACCAGGATAATCCTGTTATCTGTTTTTAAGGGAGTCCTATTTTTACTTAGCTTTTTACTAGCTTAGTGTCAGACTAATTCAAATATGAACTAAAAGGTGCACTTATCAATGTTTCTCCACTAGAGGTCGCCTAAAACCTCATTACATATAAGCGCCTCTCATTGTTTCTACCCACTGCCTTTCCAATATTTACATTACAATGATCAATTTAAAAACATTTACAATTTAAGGCGGCTTCTCCGCTGCTTTCAGTCTGGACTTAAAAGTGTTCAGCCTGATAGAAATAAGTTAGTTTCAATCCAGTTTATTTACCAAATTGCAGTTTCCATTAAATAAAAAAAAAAAAAAAGCAACTAAAATCACACATCAAAATCTAAAAGTTTTATGTTACACTTAAAAACAAAACCATCCTCCTACTACTTCCTGATGTCTTTGTTTTTTTGTTCTTTTATTTTATAAAAAAAAAAAAATGTTTCAATTTTAATGTTTTATTTAGATTACAAAAATAAATCGTAATAAAAAAATCCTATTTATGATGTTTTAAAAAATAAGACCTACGAAAGACTGATTTAAGACATTTTAATACCAATTAAGGCCTTAGTTTTATTTTGAAGAATTCAATGCCTTTTAAGACTTTTTAAGGACCCGTGGGAACCCTGTAAATGCCGATCGTTCCCGGGTTTAAATAGATTTTTCGGCCAGTGGGAAATGAGTATATATAAATCCGCCGCTCTCACTGAGGAAACCACTTTCAGTCTGAACGCACCTTTAGAGCTGAAAATGGTTTCTCTATACTATATTTCTCAGAATCACGTCAGGAAAAAAAAAACAAAAACACAAAAGAAACATGTGGCTAACACCTTTCTATCAATTTCTACATTTGAGGACATAGATAACAATAAAAAGGTCAGCTGAGAGAAACGGAGCCCACTCACGTTCTCAGCCAGAGCAGCAGACAGCAGACGGATGGCCTTAGCTTTGGCCTCAGCTTTGGCTAAGACTGCT